CCAAATATGAATTCAAGGTTTGAATGAGTTATTTCTACTTCCTTACGAGGTATGATCTGTGCCTATCAAAATCTTCACAAAAAATAAGGGATTGTGTTGAGAGAGGAGATTTTTCAGGCCGATTGGGGCGGTGATGCTTATAACTTCACCTCGAATTCTTGGGAAGCCCATGCATTCAATTTCTGCTGAAGAAAATCTGCAAAACTTCTCTTCTACACAGACGATTTTAAAAGTTTACAGACTTCAAGGACATTCTCTACGCTAGTAGAGAAGAAAAGTTTCTAAATGAGAGATTTTCAAAACCGTGGATGGTCACAGATTTTATTCTCTCCATTATCATGAATAGTAAAGCCTAAAGTAGCTCCTGACGAATCAGCAAATTTTTTGAACGAAGCATAAGTTCAGGTTATGATGTTCCAACGAAGCAGAGTGGTGTAAATCCGGTATGGTTGCTCATGTATTACCTAAAATCCAGTCCAACAGAAGATGCCAGGACTAGCCGTTGCCACAAGAACTACCAAAAAGTCGCATCTTCGAGCCTGACTAACAAGTTCCACATTCATTTGTAGAAGACTGTGAAGTAAGAGAATGGTTTATTCATAGAAGAGCACTAACTGGTGTTCTCGAAGACTGCACAACCGTTTGTATACTGAAAACCCCAACACAAGCACGTTAGTCATTTCTACGATTCTGAATGGGAGTGGAATGCAAAATTACAATTTCACGGTCCGGTATATGTTCTAGAACATGGTCTAGAAGATAGGTTTGTACACGATAAAGATGATTGGATTCAATAGTTACCTTCAATTCCGATAGTTATGCTTGAAATAGTATACTCTAAGTTTCAAAGTAGTTCTGAGGATTGATTTTCCGGTGTGAAATTCAAGTATGTGGCATTCAGTAATCAGGATTCCTCCTTGCGAAACTTGTATATATGTTAGAAACAGCTGGTGAGTGAGTTTGGGGTTTTAAAATGGCTCCTAAAAGATTAGTCTACGGAAGGGACTTCATAACAATGGCATGGCGTCCTACAACAGGATAAGCTGCTCGGATCGAGCTTTACACTTCTCTACAGGATCTTTGATGCTTTCCTATTTCTAACGTTTCGATTGACTTATGCCATTCAATATGTTTAAACGTACATTTAAGTTTAAGTTTTACTGCATCTGTGTTTTGACAAAATTAGGTCCTCAAGTAACCACATGTTTTGTTTTTAACACATAAGCCGAGCGAATTAGGTGTATTCAGTGGGGCATTCATTCGCGTAATTCGGGATCGAATTCATAAGAACATCTAATCAAGTCAGCTGAGTATTCCATCCCTTAGGGCAGGTTTAAAGATGATAAAGGGATTCGGGGAGGCTGGCCTGAATGAAGGTCTTTATGGACCCATCTATCCGCTGACTGGTGCATGTCATTGCATAGGGCGTATCCGCACCCAATACAGCACTACGATACTAAATGGAAGTCGAATGCGTGGAGCAATGTATAGCGGAACTCATCAGCGTTAGAATCGTTCATCCTTTCAAGTCATATACGGTGTGTGGGAAGAAGTCAGTGAAAAATCAGTCCTCATTACTGAAGGGGCTTTATTTAGTTTGTTTAGTTGTTTACAGGTGTACAAGCAGCAAATATTTGTATAAGCAAGCGGACGAGGAAAAGAAAATATAAGGATAGACGATAGCTTCACCGAAGCACAGTACAATGATCATTTCCAGCCACACAAAATCTTTATTTTCCGAAATCATGGATCAAAAAAAAAAAAAAGAGGAAGCGTAAATGTTCAATTCATCAACAAAGAGTGATTTCTTACAAAAATCCGATCAGTAGGAGTGCTCCTGTTCTCGAAATTCGACTACTATTCTCGCCTACTACGACGATAGATTCCTATCTTCCTTATTCTTACTGATAGTGAGATTCATACTATACGAGAGGACGTTAAGACTCTGACTGATACTCAGGCACTTTCTTTTGAAAACTCAAGAGCAACTGAGCATTTGTCCTCCGAGATACTAGAAAGGATCCAATCAATTTTCACCGTACCTCATTTCGCTGTGAGATCATTTTCTTTATTCCCTTTGATCCAATCCACAAAATAAGTGACAAGGTTGTAGGAGGGTAAGCGTGTGGCAAAACTTCTCCCCGAATTCCCACGGCAAGCGGCAGTGGGTCCGCGGTGGCTACCGCATGCTTCCACTTTGGATTCCGACCTTAAGCTTCGTAGCGCACGACTGCGCGCGATCGGGTGCGACGAACGCGAAGCGATTTTCGGGGAGAAGTACCATTTGCTGGTGGTGGGCCGGCCACGTCGTGTGACATTGTTATGACCGCTGGATCAAGGCTGTTACTGACTGGATCCCTTGGGACATCAAGCGAACGACAGGGCGACCGCCAGTATGATGATTAAGCTTCTGTACAAAAGCTCCAAACGTAAGGAATGCCATGTTCAGTGTCTCGACAGGTGCTACTGATCAAGTATACCGGCTGTGGAGGGTATGACATGCTCCTACCCAGTTCTTATGACATACCTGGAATTAGCAGCAAAAGGGAGAAACTCGGGATCTAAAACATGCATGGTGTTCGTGCAAAAAAAAGGAACACTGTCCTAACAGTCGAAAGAATATTGATAGAATGCAGAATACTATCGCATACTATCAGAATTACCGCTACAAATAATATGAACACGAAGTGTCACTTCAACAATAGATAAGTTTCATGGTAGATATACTGCATGAGATCTACCGACCACTTTGAAGAATCATGGTAAGGAGTGAGCCTTTTTGGGAAGAGAGAATATTTGTGGTATAAATTTTAACGCACCCTTTTTCTGCACAAAAAGAGAAACAGTTCCACGCCTTTTTGCTTATATATGCCATAGCTGAATTTCGTTTTGCCTTTCGATCCGGCACTATACTCTTTACAAGGTTCCCTACCATGGAGTAAGTTTTAGGGAGACTCCGTTTGATACCCGATAAATCCACCTGAGCGATATACTGGCAACTGCTACAGTACCCGATTTTGCTAGAAACCGAAATCACCTACTAAGTTGGCATTTTCGTGACAATCTTCGACAAAGTAAATGCTCCTGGGCAAATTGTGTGATATATAAAAATGTTTGCCAATCTTGTGAAGAGCTTTGGATCCTCCAGTGCAAAATGTACCGCTACCTTACGGAAATCATTCAAACTAGTCAAATTCAATTGAGATATTGCGTAATTATTATGGATTTTGGAGGTACGCTAACGGAAAAATGAAAAGTTCATTTAATTTGCAAAAACTCCGATCTTTTGAAATATGTTCAGCTGTCGTCGCTCATTTCCCAAATACAATGGCGGTGTTGATGTATTTGTTAAGCCGATTTTGAACGACCGATGAATCAGTGCTGAATGACGTCGTTTTGTACTATCGAAGTGAGGATTTGCAAATGGATACACTGTTAGTCCGTCATGGACCAGCATATCCTAGCTAATCAATAGAGCCTGATGATGTTAGTTTTAATCGAAATCGGCTCTTTAGGTGTCAGAGGAAGAGTTAGTCACGGACGATTTCTCCCCGCCTGAAACCACATGCACGTCCGTACCACCTAGGCTTCCGAAGGCAGTAACCCTTTACCCTAAAAGGAAAAGCCAGTTAATCTTAACAAGATGGTTCAGCTGAACTTTTTCCCAAGTTCTGCTGAATGCTCGCTATGGACCGAAACTCTTTCGTTACCAGTTCAATATTCTGAAGTGCATAGGATTTCGATATATCCAATGAACTGTCAACATGATTCCGACAGACATCACAAACACGACTTGGTCGTAAATGTCCACAAATCGCATATTATCCGCCCTCATCAGAAAAAATGAGTGTGTCAGCTGTTATGGCTATAAAGCCTTCACTTAGGATTAACTCTCATCGTAGAGGTGTCAAGCAAACCTCCTCTTCTGCTCATCCCTAAATACAGCACTTCAACCGACAGCACTTTCTACCGACAGCTTTCATCATCTTCTTCAAAGTCTTGGTGTGATGGTACCTGTTGGGAGCATTTAATCCATAAGGAATCTCGTATTTATGAATAGCTTGCTCTCAGTCGTCGATACGATCGCCGTCATGCTCCTCTCGGTGACCCTGCTTTTACATCCGTCATACTAAACAGGGACTCCAACTGGGTCCCTTATAGTCGCATAAAAGGATTTCCTTGAGCAACAAGACGATCCAGTAGTCCACCAATAATCACCCATGCCTTCATTCTAGTTCTCAAATGCACCTCCATTATAGGATTAAAAGACGAATAGGCTTGCGATTCGCTCCTTTTTTTGAGTTTATTATTCTACAGCACCTCGGATTTCGTTGCCTGAATTAACTTGCAATTGATCCAACACCTCATTTGAACATCCACATAAAAACCCATTGTTTCGAACGACATTGATTGGTAGTTGGTAATCCGACTTGGGCGCGCCTGGGCCTAACACTGATGTACTTTCAGTACCGCCCGAGAAATCCCAATTCGAACTATCTTCTCGATCTGTAGCCTTTGACATGCTGAGCCTCCATCTTAAGTTCATTGTTCTGCCCCAAAACGAGTGGAATTTCATTATCGACGCTGAGTCGACCGATCTTGGTCTTATAATTAGTCTGAGTTACAGTCAGAGTCCAGCTCTTTTCCAGCTCACGTTGGTCGAATTTTATTTACAGGTGCTGCAGGCACTTTCAGAAGGCAACTTTCATCCCACGCATGTCAGGCCCTTTCCATTTTCTTTCATAGTTTGAATATTGATAGAAAACTAGAGGATCTAAAATGCTGGGTCGTGCTTCATGGGAAGCAGAAAAGATTTGCAGTAAGAGGGCCGGGCGAAGAGTTTAATCTATGCTCTGCTATCCATAAGCTCGGCTTCTGATTTGATGAAAGTACACCAGCTCACCTCGAGTTGACTCTACTGACCTTCTTAACCAGAAGAGCCAGTAAAACTTTGGAGATTCTCCGTTTACTGACGAAATTCTAGTCATCGGGCAGCCAAGATGACTCCATTCCTGCTTTTACTCTTATCGACATGGCGATGTGTCGACGCAATATTGCGGTGAGTACTAAATCTTACAAATGTGCTTATTGACCCAAAGTCAGCTGATTCAGGATCCCAATAAACAAGACGACCCTGACGCGAAGTGGTTATAACGTGGATATGATTGAGGAATTCCTGAAGCAGAAGTATATTCCAAACTACTCATTCTGCACCGACTATGACTACGGCAACAGTGAAGGGCTTTCGGACTACATGAATGTCAGAAGTTCAAAACCAATAGCAAACGTTATGTAGAACTATATTTTGCTCGATTTCAGACTCAATACTATGGCCCCATCCAGATTGGAACTCCTCCTCAGACCTTCAGAGTGCAATTCGATACTGGCTCATCTAATCTGTGGGTCCCTTGCGCAAATTGCCCTTACTACAACACTGCCTGCCAAAACCATCGACAGGTAAGCGGATCACAGGTTTCAGTACAACCACTCTGATTGATCACTCGTTTATCTTCAGTTTTACTGCCAATCATCGTCAACTTGCTACCAAACATATCAGCCCCTTACGGTCCACTATGGAACTGGATCGATGCAAGGTTATGTCAACTACGATAGAGTTTGTGTGAGTTTTGGGAAGGTCCAGAAGGGATTCTTGATCTTGGGAAATCACCTTTTTTCAGTTCGGCACCAACCAGGAGTTCTGTACGAACAACCAACAGGGATTCACCTGCGCCATGTTAGAGTCCAGAGAGTTCGTTGTAAGTAGAAGTAGATAAGTTGGTTAGGGAGAAAATGAGGGCAAAGTGGAAAGTGGTATTGGCGTATCGATTTCAGAACGCCCCATACGATGGCATCCTCGGTATGGCGTGGCAATCAATCGCTGCAAACAACATTTCTCCACCTATGAACCAAATTTTTGCTAACCAGGTTTCTAACAGGACATAAGGTCACACTGCCTGATCATTTGCTTGACAGGGACCCTGGTCCCTGAAGGGCAATTGATGGCGAGTTTGAGATCCCGGCTTCTCAACTCATGGTAAATATTCAGCAAGTATGTCCAGTGGCGCTCTTCTCTTTCTGGATGAACCGTGATCTGAACAACAATGTTGTTGGTGGAGAACTGACTCTATGCGGAATAGACCCCTCCCATTATCAGGTACCATCTTGAGATCCATTGTAGTTGAAGTTGACGAAAGTTTTCAAGGGCCCAATCTATTGGGAACCTCTCGTCTCTACAAGCTACTGGGAAATACGGGTGAGAGGCATCACCGTCAACGGACAGTCAATAACCTACCGTCCTTTCAACGCCATCGTTGATACTGGTACCTCACTCATTGCTGGCCCATCACGTTATGTCCGACAGGTAAGGCTTGCCCTTTTGTTTCTTGAAATTCTGGCACAACCCTGTACCTCTACTTTTGTGCTGTTTCAAGATTCAACAAGCGATCGGAGCTGGTCCGTCAGGCGAGATCAACTGCAATTCTATTCCGTATCTCCCGAGAATCGCTTTCATAATTGGTGGAGCGCAGATGGTCCTTTCCGGAAAAAATTACGTTCTTCAGGTACGGCATGAGTTGATCCTGGGCTCAGTTGGTTGCATCCAGCAGTAGTTGCTTTATTGGCTGATCCGTCGGCCCTCTCCACTGTACTATCGAGAAGGGAAGGAGTCCTTGGTTGGAACTTCTCAATAAGCCGAGCAAAGGCCGCCTCACGTGTGCCTAATTCTTATCGGCAATATCTGGTTGGGTTTAAGCCGAGTGTAAATGCTGTGCCACAAACGATACCGATTCTCTTGGAACATTGCTGGTGCCTCGAATGAATTGGAAGCTTTGAGTTCAAAACCATTTTTTAGTTCGGGGATGGCTCGTGCATGTCCGGTTTCATGTCATTCGGAATGTCTGATGGTATGTCTACATTTATCACACCGATGCTCTAGTGGGAGTTTACGTACTTGCAGGCTTTCAATGGATTCTTGGCGATGTCTTCATTGGCGCCTTTTATACCGTCTTTGACGCTGGAAACCAACGTGTTGGATTTGCAGTTGCTTCTTGAGACACGTTTTACAATTATTTATAACAGAGTATCTAATAAAAGAGTATCTGAACGCAATTACGGTCAATAGAACAGCATTCTAATCACAAGGGTCGTTAGAAATACAAAAATTATTGCTCCGGAACGAGCACATAGGGAAAACTTAGAAAACTCAATATTTCAACTAAGGACGCCTCTTTGTCTCGGCGCACTACCCCACACACACATGGCCATGGGATCGAATCCCAATCGATATCCGCCTAGGCCAACCAAGCCTTCCATCACTCCGGGCTCAGTTAATTGGTACCAGACTCGTCTGGGAGGATAAGCACTAACTTGCCCATCAGCTGAGCGCCGCAAGTCACTGTATAGGACACATACGCATTCAATACGCCACCACATTCTGAATGGAAGTCGAATGCGTGGGTGCATTCCCCAGACGGGATTGATCAACACCTAGAGACTTTATCCCTTTTTGATGTCTCGAGAAAGGGCACCATGTTACAGTTGGATATCTTCCAAGACAAGTAATACTACAAGTTTTCATTCCACCAAAATCATTTGGCGATTTCTTCTTGAGTCCCTATATCGAATAAAAAAACGATTATGACTTAACGTTTCAACCTGGAACTGACTGTAAGTAATTTTTCTCGCACATCTGTTCATTTTTTGCCACAAACAAAACAATTTTTATCCATAATTCTGTCTCGGAGCCTTTAAGGGTCAGTACATCCAAAGCAGCGTTTATACTTCAAATACTCCCAGCCTGACTGGTCGTTATCCCATACTGGGCCCGCTCAATAATTTCACCGTAGCATCTACATCTAGAACTTTCCTGATAAACCGCAACAAAGCTCAGTAGCATACTAACTTCACTAATAGGCCTCCTGGATAGCCACTCCGGGCGCACCCCCAAAATCAGGACTGTCTAACGCCATAGACCCCATCCTTTCAAATTCAAGTCGTTGTGTTAGCCTATTCATACCTAAAACGCCACTCTAATTCGTGTGGGAGTCGAATGGCGCATCTCAAAATCGGGACAGACTAATGCCAGCTCCCATCCTGTTGTACTCAAAACAGACTAAGAGATTGGTGCTTGCATTTTCTGCTGAGAATAAGCAGCCACTTTCGAAATATAACGCAATTTTTCGTCTTTTAAGTGTGGACAATTTTTGAACGACCTAAACTAACCACTAAATCATCGGGGCTGCACCGTTGTGCAGACATTTTTGAAATGCCTTCGCATAGGGTGAAATTTAACAATGGTGCAATCCCGTCTAGCTGTTTTTACGATTGGATATGGAATAAACTGACTGGAATATGGAGTGAACTTCGATGGCATTATTTGAAGAACAATGAAATCGATGAATCAGCCTACTGACTGCGTTGAGGTTATTATTGTCACGAACGACTTTTTGCTTTTTAATCCACTGCATGGATCGTGAAATTATGGTATATCATGAATGGATTGTGTCACATTATGAAAGAATGGGTCTGCGGTTGCTTGATCAGCTGTTTTGGGCACTTTTTCAGTTGTCGATATTTTTTGAAGGTCTCCATAGGATAGCGAAGAGTAAATCTCAAATCAGATGATCAAACTTCTATAAAGTGAAATACCAAGAATCAACTATTCCGTCTGCACCAAGGTCTCGCAAGCTTTGCTTCCTTAAATCCAAGCCCAACGATGGGAACAGATCCAACCTTTACTCTGTTGGTGATAAGTTGACTCTCGATTCAGATTCTTATTCGATATAGGTGCTGCTTCTAAGGAGAAAAAACATCTTTCTCTTCCTAAGGAGCTATCTGAAATTCTACTTTAGAGTAATTGAAGACCGACACCACTACCGCTCTCCTGAGTCACCCAAGCCGATCAAAGTCTTCACGTTGGGTTACCCATCGGTACTACACAGACTCGAAAGAATAAAGCACCAACTCTGGGCATCAGAATGAAGAGTCTGCAAGTTATTTCTAAAGCGAAGTGGGCATACAAATATCAATATTTCAATGAATAAGAACTGAGCGCGAGCACTCGCTGAAGCTGATTCGGATGACGTGGATAAGCCAGTGGAAATTGGAAAAAAATACCCAGATTTGATTCGCTCTGCTTGAGCTTTTTTTATTTATATTTCATATATAGTAGAGATTGGTATCGGACGAAGGCCGTCTTCACCAAATATCAGCCCAGACAAAAATTTTCATCACATTGTTTATGATTGACTAGGCAAGTTAGAATCGGAATGCTATTTCAAAAAGTGCTGTATTCAGGGATGTATGCTTTCCTCATTCATCCGACCTTTTTTGTAAGAGAATAACACTGGGATTAAATGGGTTTTAATACAGTAAACATACAATACAGTAAAGTAGTCGATGCCTGTGTTTAAACTCTCATCCCATCACCTAAACCGCTCTGAAGCCAATTATCCTACTAAAAGAAAGAAAAAGTGATGAGTTCAAAGACCGCGTTTCATTGTACAGCCCCTCATTACCAAACAATTAAACTTGAGAATGGAAATAAAAGTGGGGAAATGGACATTGAAAGTACTACGAAAGATCAAATTACAGTTCAAAACACAGTTCACGATAAATATCATCACTCCAGGGCTTTCGAAATTCCCAGTTCAGACGAACCTAAGGCTCACAGGGATGCCATATCCGGAGGACGCTGTTAAGCCGAAAAAGAGCATAGATCGGGCGCAAAATGGGCTAAATACCGGCTCTGTCCCACCAAAACATGGAAGTGTTTCAACGGCACCACGCAGGATGGAGCACAGATGATGGAAGTTCTAATAATTAGACAAGTCTCATTCTGACTGTTGAATATTGCATACTGTAGCTTAGATTATATGTAATTGCACAAAATAAGAATCTCGCCAAAATATCCTTTTCCTTCTGCTTCATCGTCATAATCCCATATGATCCCTTATCTTTCTACCTTACGGAAGCGCTATATTTCTCAAAATCTTCTGTTTTTCGCCTTTTCTTTGCCACCTTTGCACTATTCTGCACCACCACTTCCATTCGTCCATTCAGATTAGGTACATCAAGAATACCTTCGATGGTGTCCTACCTCTCTGATGGCAATTCTTTCTATTCATATTTTTTTTGGATTCTATTACAGTAAACGGTAGAAAGAAATCAAATTGCAGCTAGAATCATTTTTTTTTTGCGCAAATTCTGCTTTTGTAAAAAGGGTGGCGAGGGGAGATGGCATGATCAAACAAAACTCGCTCTCTATCATTACAATGCAACTGATCGGCTCCTGCGTTTTTGTGTTAGTGCTTTCTAGTCCCGCAAAATAGCCTTCGAATCGCCTACTAATCGTTTCCGTGAATATCGAATGATTTAGTTTTTCTTTCTTCGCCTTTTTATTCATTTCAACTAACATAATCTTAAAAATAAAAAGCACAATATATAATCTATGAAGTTGTAGCTGAACTATTTCATTACCTAAAGTATAATCTCTCGACTTTATAAAAACTCTGGTGTGTTCCATACCTGCTTCTCTTCAAAATGTACAATCCATAATTTCGGTTCAGGCCATTTTGCTAGTAAGTCACTCTCGTAAGCGCCATGTATCCTCATTTCTTGGAAAACGTCATAACGTAAGGATAAGCCCTTGGGCACTCAGCTAAGAATGAACTCAACTAAGTTTCAAATCAACATTTATTGTTCCGATAAGGGATCAACACGCAAAGCCTAAGGGGAAGCTTCGATTAGCATATGACAACCTACCAAACCCTTGACATACCCATACCCTTGTCAGACTTAATAAGGGCCGGACTAACTGATAAGTATACATTCCGGAGTTTTTGAGAAGCTTCTAGAAACCTTCGCACGGTCCGAGACACAAATGATGTTCGGGTCGATAAGACGTTTTACCAGCAGTTTGCAGAAGATAAACTAGTTTCTTTAGAAGCACGTGTGAATTCTTCCAACAGTAGCTGGTGTCAATCTTTCGGGTCTTCCTGCCATGTGTTGAAAAATATGATTGATATCAGATGAACGACGTACCACTTCGTTGGTTCGTGGGCTGAATCTTTCGCCAACCGCTTGAATAGGGAGATGGAAAGGGAAGGAAGAAGAAAAGAAAGGAATGAGATGGAGCACTCGTCAAGGGAAGTCGTTGCTACAGAGTGGATTTGATGCTCTGACAGCAGATGGTGTCCAACCAGATGCGCAAAATTAAATGGGTCTGGGGTACATCAGAAATGACTTTTGCATCGGATGGCATTCATATGTTACTGCGTATGTTAAATCGGGTGCAACTTTGATTGCGATTAAAAGACAAATGCGTGGCGTATCCATGAACGGGATTAGTCAATACTCCTCCTATTTTACTTGCAATAGTATTGGATACTTTTTTAAACAATAGCTATCATGGAGTAATTACTCAATCCAAATCAGTTCACGCCGAATCTCAGGCAGACCCGACAGCTACCTTTAAAATTCATGACGCAGTCAAAGCGAATCGACTGACTACTCAGCGCATCAGCTGATTACAAGCACCCGATGGTGAAGCCAAAGATCACACGATTCAAAGAAGGCTCACCAAGAAACGCTCGATTCTCTTTCTCGACTTATAGCATACGAATATCGAGCGACGACAAAACATACTCAGATTAAAATCGTTGTGAAGTGATAGCCTACTTTCTTATGAGGCTCTCAGAGACTAAAGAATCGCAATCAGCCAGAAATGAAGAAGCGCTGCACCTAGGATCATGGGCTTGATGGGGGAAGGGGGCATGACAGGATAGCTGACTCTGTATTTTGTTATTTGGTCTGGGTTCTCTTACGAATTCCTGATGTTCTTGCACATTGGGGTCGTTACGAAGAAATAGCTGCATGCCACAGTACCACTTGCAGAACATTTTAACAGAAACTTAGGAAAAACTACGGTTTTGAAGAGACATCAGAACGTGAAAACGTTCTGAAGCTATTCTCTCAAATTATTTTTTTGTGGGACTTCCTCAGCGGGTGTATTTTCAAAAGTATCAGAAACTTTTTTTAACGGCATCCCACATGGGACACCCAAACCCAATAATTTCCTGTTTAGAATTTTCAAACCTTGTCAGTGAAAGAGAATGAACCGAAAGGTTCTAAAATCGTACCTTTCTAGGGAAACACTTCTTGTCCTTCGCTGCTTCTCCTCCATTAGCGTACAAAAAAAGACTTATCTTCGCATTCTTTTGTGTTCCTGCAACGAAAAAAAAAATTGAATGGACAGTGTTCTATGCACAGTTATACAAAAAAAAACTAGTCGAATGATTTTTGTTAGTGCTGAGCTATTCTGCAGTGAGAATAGCCACTCATAAGTTATGAGTGATTTTCAAACGGAACTCGTCCAGTTCCCAAAACTTCCACCCTCCAAGTTTTCATGCGTAAGTATTGTAAGTTAGTATAATTATTAGTATAGTAATAAAAATTTGTAATTAAAATAATAATTAGTACAATAATATCGTAAGCATTGATTTTTTCATCAAATTTANTTGAAGACATGATGGAAATATTTATCGAAGACATGTTCAAAAAATTACTCAAGAACATATCCACCATCTACGTCAAGCACTGCTTCTCATTTGCTAGTCAGTCGGATTCCATAGGCAAAAGAGCTTCGACTCTTGGAGGCGACCCACGCCTTGACGTCGGGCAACAAGCCATCTATTTCGTCAAAAGCTCTGTTCGTTAGCCAGTATTTAACGGGCGGTTGACGTGATAATCCATAGGAGTTTCTTCTGGTGGAACGTAGAAGCCAATTCCTATCCTGATATAACTTTGGCTGAATGTTCCATCGCCGAGAAGTTTGATGAGATCACTTCAGGACTGTGCCACGTTCCAACCTTCCTCGAAGTAGTAGAGCATAATGTGCCTTATTTGAAGATGACTTTCTAGACATATTTCTGTTGAGAAAGCAAGAGGATTTTTTCTATTAAGGCTCTTATCTAATATTCAAATTGTATCGAGAGAAAAGAAGCCACAGAAAAATCCGCAATAATTATGCATCAACCAATCAACTGCTTGTAATTTTNNNNTTTTCACTGCCGGGTCAAGAGCGATACCCAGTGATAATGACATATACATGAATCAGGATCCCAACACTAACCAATCATTGAACATTCTGCATTCATGAAATGGGTGCACTTTCATATTCTATCATTCTCAAAGGTGGTGGTGGTTGGTGCCATGTACCTTATCCCCGGCTGGGTTATCGAGCCCCGGAAGACTTAGTTGGCCTGGACTCCTATCCTGTATCCGGAATGACAGGCTCAGAACAAACCAGCCTTCCATCCCTCTAAGGTCGACCAATTGATGCCATATGTTTTTGGGAGGATATAAGCACTGACTCGTACATCGGCTGAGCACCGCAAGTCATTGTATAGGCCACATACGCATTCAAGACACCATTGCAATTATGAAAGAAAGTGGACAGCAGGGCGTATTCCAAAAAACGGGTTGAAACGAGAGCAGAGTTTATCCCCTACCCCTGTTAATCGAGAACGCATAAGAACTCGATCCCAAAGCATTCATACAGTCTGAACCAGCCCATAAGATGAGGTCATTCTGCACACAAGTTCATTTTTTCAAACCAGCTTTCCTCAGCTGGTCAAATACAGTCCAGCTAAAGAGCACCTGATGTTGAAATCTGGGGTGACCTTCAGACCCGCACTCCGAAATGATAAGATATCAGCGCAAAAGTATCACTAGAACGACTGTCTTATGGCGTGACCGTATGGCTTATATAACTGGCCATCGCTCTTTCTCTCTTCGAACCTTATCACCACGCCATTTTCTGCAACCAGCCATAACTGACGCCTGACCGCACCTAACGACTTCCGGCGCTCCCCTTTAAGGCCATTATCAAATCGCTTCTTCTGATCAGGTCATTAAACAGCGGGTTTTTCAAATTCAGAAAAATGACAAGCGGTTTTCTAGAGAATCCTGAATCCTTTTGTGCCTCAAGCCTCTAAGCCCAATTTTGCATATTACTTTAGAGCCAACGTTGCCGTAAGAAAACAGCTTAGTTCGAAAGCTAAGAATTCCGGTGGGACGCCATAAGAGTAAGTTGAAAGTTAACCATTTCCTCGAGTTCAAACTTTCTACTAGGTTTATACTTCAAGGAGAGTTTGATCTGGAATAACTGATTCACTACAAAAATAACCTCAGGCGGCTGTGATTGTGATTTTTGCCCTACAATTCGCTTTTCTAGAATGAATGATTGAATTTGTAGTTATTCTTAAAAGTATTAAATTCCATCTGAGCTCCACCTAGAGGTCGATTATTTTGATCTCATCGCTTGCCACAATCTTGACCACCTATCGAATTTCGACAGCACCTTTTGAAATTTATGGGCACGCTTCATGTAAACCTATCCATCTAATCCACAAAGACGTGCTACTTAATAAATCATCTTTCATCCACTTCCGATGCACAAAATATTTTCATTCCCTATTGTAACTCATTTTTGGAGGAACTTTTTCACCCAACGCGTCTCGACCGTCATTTTTCTACGTCTCAGATTTTTAAGAAAAAAATGCTTTTCAGAAATGTCTCTAACAGTGGGCTTGGCTGATGTCTTATTCGGATCATGGAATCTGGAGAAAACAGACGCCTTTATGACATATTGGGTTCCAACTTCATATAAGGTAAAAGTTGAATTTAGAGAAGGGCACCATTTTCATGTGCTACTTGTTTATTTAATGAATAAATAAATAAATAAATAAATAAAAATGAGTGAATGAATAATTGGTGAATCAACATTTATAATTTCAGATTGCTGTAGCATATCTGTCACTAATCTATTTGGGTCAACGATTTATGCGAAATAGAAAACCATTCGAGTTAGATGGCACGCTAGCAGCATGGAATTTCATGTTTTCATTATTCTCCGGTGTAGCCGCTTATAAATTAATTCCTGAATTAATCCGAACGTTTCGGGAAGACGGTTTCGTAGGTAAGTTACTCATTGCTTTCAACAGTTGAAAATTTCGCAACTTAAATTTACAATTTTTCTGGGAAAGATCTCTATTCGAACAAGAATCTATTGGGCGACCACAGTTCCTTTTGATGTCTCCCTATGACCAGAGCATCTTTCTTTTCGTAACCATTTTGCTATCACATAATGAATCACTAATAACCTGGCGGAGTTGCTGCTCCTGCATAGAGAAAAAGAGGATCCCTTGGAGCCTCTAACCACCCAACCACTTAGACTATAGAAAAAACTACATAGTAGTGGTAAAAGGCTGTCAATATTTACTACAATAATCACTTTTTAACTCACTAATTTTTTTATTTATTTTTACTCAATTAATAAACCTTCTCCGTAATCCACTCCAAGCCTAAAAGGTCCTGTCTCGAGGGGAAAGTTATGCAGCGTTTAGAAGAAGAGTCAACTACGTGGTAATTCTGCAGAGTCGAACTCCTGTCCACGTTATTGACATCTCCTTTTTCCCTGGACCGAGCAGTTCATTTTTTAATGACAGCTGGAAAGATGAGCTTAAGAATTACGTTCTCAAACTAACCATCCGAAACGACACACGCCCAGAAGGCCCTGAACGTTTTTCTTTGCAAAAATCGACCTTTTTTGATATGACATAGTGATATGATTACCTTTTTCTTGCCCACTGGAATGCTTGAGTTATCAGCAAACACAAAAAAAACTACTTAGTCACTACTTTCGGCGGTCTTTCGCGGTACATTGGACCATTCGTGGATCCATAGTACATGTGCAGTACATTGGACCTGAACGAGACGTCACGTCCACGTCGACTCCTCCTTTATCGGTTCTTGTAATTGTTATGGTTTGCCCGGAGTACAGGAAACACCATATCACCTTTTCGGCGCTAGAACTTCCGATCGCCCCATGATTGGGTGCGTCTGATCACCTTATAAAGGTTAATGATCGTTTTGGAATAGCAGGTATCGCGCTAGGCATAGGATTCTCGGGAAGAAATCTCTTAGAGAACATAATTCAGATTGTTTAAAATCGTCTTTTCATTCTCGGATCCTTCTCATGAGTCCAGCTAATGAAAAACTACTCTTTGACTCACTGTTATCAGCGATTGTGAGTATTCGTACGATGCAACTAGTTAAGGTACAGTTTGCCCCATTCTTGATGAAGAGCGACCCTCGAGTTGAGCAGAAGGAAACCACCGGTGTGGGGAGCATTTTGAAACGCGAGAGAGTAATAGAAGACAAAGAACATACCGCTCCGTGTTCGCCTCTTCAACACCCCAGTCCTTAAGTACGCCTCGGAGTCCTGGACTCTACGAAAGCAGGATGAATATGCAGTCAGCTTCACTTAGCATGTGGGAAGGACGATGCAGGGTATATTCCTATAAACGCAATTACAGAGGGAAGTCCATATTTCCAGATCCATCAGCGAAAAGAGACCAGGGACACCGTTTCCTGCGCCGTAGAATCTACTATCAGTGGGTAGACAATTATGGGGTGACTGCTGAACCAGTGCAATTATCGAATGGATTCCTCGGGAAACAAAACGAACATTGGGACAGCCGGTGACGCGATGGTTAGACTACTTTGCAAAAGCTCTGAACGGAAGGAATGTTATGCTCCGTGTTAGTCTACATGCCCTCGTGTGAGGGCGATAGACTGGATGAACTACTCTGACTCGCTACAGGGACGACGCCCATGTGAAGAAGTCGATGATCAACGAGACGACACAAGTGATCGATGCCCAGTTCCACGGAAACAAGCATATTTCCTTCTTGATGTTCACACCAGCCGAAGCCTCATGGAATGATTTTGCGAACACCCTGTTGTTTTTCAAGTCGAAAACGACGACCATGTTGAAGTGTTTTTCGTCGTACTCTACGGCTTTGCGCACCAGTGAACTTCTGGATTGAAAAAGGAAGCTGGATGAAAATTGCTTTATTGTCTTTGGAAAATAAATGCAACCCAAAATGTCCCAGAAGTGAGAGAAGCAATGTGCTGAGTGGTATCGTAAGACCAGCTCTAGATGTTGGGCCGAGTAACCATTTATATTCGCAGTGAGTGAATTGTTCAAAAAAAAGATACCACCAAACCACCTGAAGTTACTACAGGGAGCAAAGTTGTTTGTAGGGGCATTTTTCAGTAATTGGGTAATGCAGAGGTACACCAGGCTTTCCATCACTCCTGTAATCAACAAAACTATGAAACTCTCATAAATGATGAATTTTCTACTTTCTAATACTTCTTACTGTTATGGGTGTGGGGGAGTATCAATGAAGAGAGTAAATATCAAGTTGCTGGTGGGAAGTAACAATTAAAAATTCGAAAAAAAATTCAAGTTTAATTTCAAGCATTTTGAAAGCCCTGCCAGCATATTTAAATCGCCCGAGTAATTCCTCTATAGGCCCTCTCCTAATTGGGCTGAACGAAATTCTACAAAGGAGTTCCTATTTTCACAGTCAATTCTCTTTTTATAGGTTCCTACTGCTACAATAACGATTACTACACGGATGCATCGACGGGTTTCTGGGGATGGGCGTTTGTCATGTCGAAAGCTCCGGAACTCGGAGACACCATGTTCCTTGTACTCAGGTAGGACAACAATATTGATATGTCTCAGTTTCTGAAAATATGCTAGAGCGTCCAAACTAAGCAATTTGATGGTTCCTCAAATACCATTTGCCCGAGAGGTGAATTCGCAATTCTGATTCAGGAAGAAACCAGTAATCTTCATGCATTGGTACCATCATGCACTTACATTCGTCTATGCTACCATAACCTACTCTGAACATCAAGCCTGGGCCCGATGGTCGCTTGCTCTCAACCTTACCGTACATACCATCATGTACTTGTGAGTTTATGGCCAAAAAGACTATTCCGATTTCAGTTATTTTATCATTAAAGCTTCCCTGACGAAACAGTTTACAGCTACTTCGGAGTTCGAGCGCTGAAGATCGATACCCCACGGCCGGTGGCGAAATTCATAACTACAATCCAAATTGTACAATTCGTAATCAGCTGTTATATATTCGCACATCTTGTCATCATCAAAAGTTATAATCAAATTCCGGGCTGCGCTGTAAGGTAAGCAGTAGCGACACAAAGTTATATTTACTCTGCTTGAACAATAACTGTATTGTGGCACTAAGTTCGACATAAGCAGCATGGAAGCGTGCTGTTGAGAGGCGGCTGTACTAGCGGCTCCGCTACTATGCGCACAAAGTGCAAAGTATTGTGATGACATCACTCTAACTCCAAAATGAAAGCTTTCAGCTGGAATGTCCTATCAATCGGTGGTCTCATGTATCTCAGCTACCTCTACCTATTCGCCGAGTTCTTCTATAATGCCTATATCAAGAAACGATCACCCACAAAGATCAAGTCTCAGTGATGATCAGCGATTTATTTCCACGATGGAAGAAAAACACGGCGCCCAATTGAACTCAATCAAAAAGAAATAATAAAAGTTTTTACAATTCTTTTTTAACAACAACCGGAAGAACAGACAACAAGCACGTTTCAATCGATGCAAAAGAAATGTCTAAACACAACAGACAAAGTACAAAACCAAAACTTCAGAGTCTATTCCAAGCGACTCCCTTTCAAGGAAAATTGAAAAAATCAAACCCTCTTTTAGACTTCATTCTCGCTCACTAGCAAATTGGGAATACCATCTTTTATTGGGAATTTGCGACCGGTATCGGGACATTCCAGCTCTCCATCCACAATTTCGACACACAGCATTACCCGATGCAACTGTAACCATACAATACGCTTTGCGTACATTAACGAACACGAACAAATTTATTGCAGTCAGGGGTAATCCAGGTAGAAGAACTTACAAAGGGCCAAAAGCAGCCTACTCAAGAGATAAATAGTTTGTAAAGCAAGTGTTGTAAACACCCAGAGCTCACTGAGAGCATGACAATGTATCACAGTAGCAATTGAATGAACTTAGTTAATTAGCTCGATCCCGTTCTCTAACTACTCCCCTGACTCCCACTCTGTTGGCTTGGCCTTACCGAGAAGGCTCACTAGGTTCTTTCACAGGGGAGCGCTCAGTTTACTCCAGATTTCATGATCATAGAAAATGGAACTTGGGAAGTGTTGATAGAGCCCAGCGCACTGTTTCTTGATGTGAATTAAATCCCAAATAAAACTTTCACGTGAAAATAAAGAAGAATCAAAAGCAGAAAAATGTAGGAATGTAATCGAACAAATTCCGAAGCAGAAACAAACCAACCTCCATTAATACCGGGGTGTTCGTTTCCCAGTCATCTGGTAGAGACGCAGGCATGTTACCAGCTTCGCCAATAGAATAAGCTGCATTGTACAGGGAAGCATAATCAAGCTGCAACTGCATACGTTATAGTGCAATGCAAAAATCAATAACCCTTCCTACCTTGAAAAAAAAAACTTACTTTAGGCATCATATTCAGAACGAAATTCTCATTGAATTCCACTTCCTTATTGGCTATTTGATTCGCGCGAAGAATCAGTGGATAGCCATTAGTCACATTCTTTAGAAACCTTGATGACAGGAAATTGTGCGTGAGAAGTTTCATCTGTAAAGCAACAAGAATTCTAATGGTAAAAGCCTCCAAAACGCAAAACATTCTATGAAGTAAATTATAAAAATCTAACTCAAGTAGTCAAATGTGCACTTAACGCATTAATTCCAACTCAACACAAATGTTCATCATAATTTAATTATGGATACGGTGTAATAAGATAAAATAGAAAGAAGTTTCACCTAGAGGCAAGTTTAAGAAAGTCGTTAGAAAATCAGGTAGCACTAGTTCAAATGGCACTAAAAGTAGTAATTAAACAGTACCTAGACATCATAGTTAGGGAACATCATCAAAGTATTCAGAACGGGTTACAGCAAAACCATTTCATGGCGTAATCGACTATTCACAAGCGAAATAGGAAACAAGCAGAAAGGTTACAATACCCGTTCGAGGGAAGAAATCGATAATTATCAATAAGTACTGAACTAACCATTGGACCTACACCCTGCTAATGAAGAATCCCATTCAAGTGATGACGCTCATTTCTATCTTAACAAGTATCCTTTTACAAAAAAAAGAGTTCTGAAAGCATACATGAAAACATTACTGAAAGTGAAAANAAAATAGAAGAAAACCGGGAATCGTGAGAGATAAGAGTTACACAGAGCTTCATAAATCAGTACTAGAATGGACTGACAAATGCACTTCCAAAAATCATCTAGCAGAACTAACACAGACAATGCTTTGGAGGAAAACTACCTTAAATAGCACAGACTGCAAGTTGAGGATCTAGGATTTAAAAATGAATCCTGTGGCAGTGTACACAAGATTCATTTTTGCAGGTAGGACTACAGCTTAGATAAATATTCATGCAAGAGGAACGATGAGCACTACAACCATAGCTGTGCTATACTCAATCCTCTCTTATCTCTGCTCAGAATCACGAACAAATTATTTGGGAATCATTTTGACACACACTTACAGTAACCATAGATATTTCAAGAGCTTCAGGAATCTTTGTCAATAGGAGAGAGGTCTATTTCCGAGAATCCTTCAAATGAATTGCTAACGCCATCTAAATCGAATCGTACTATGCTCTGATTGCTGCCATCCATAGACTGATCGCCATTATCCTGGAAAAAAGCGAATAAGCTTCAGCAAAAAGGATGCCAGTAGAAGTATGATGTTGCCCAATCAGCTCCCTATCAGAGAAATTTTAGCTGCGATTGATCAGGAAAAACTGAAGAAGTTTCCCTGAATTTTCCAGTAAGCAGATATAGCGACTTTCAAGTAACGGTGGAGGTGAGACGGTAAAATTGAAGCATTTCCAAACATACAAAGTCTGTCGGACTGCAAAATGCGGGAGCCGCATCATCTCCTTCTGAAAACAGACGCCGACGCAGTGAACCAGCACTTGAAGCTGTGGTGTTAAACACCGAATCATCACCACATTCTTCTGAGGACATGTAGATACACGAGGGACCTAGAAAGACATCAAAAACAAAATGATTCTGCAATGACTGAAGCAAACGGGAAACTTCCCCTTGAATGTGTTCTCTAAAAACACATACTGTTTGCAGAAACTTTCTCTGGGACACGCAAGTGTTGAGCCAAGAAAAAGTGAATAAAATTGAGAAGACCGCCTTTATTTGGCCTCTTTTTTGGCAAAACCATGCTTGAGAAAGATCGAACAGTTCAATATTCTACATTATTCTTAGATGTGAGAAAAAGAGGTCCCAAAGTAAGCAGTTAAAAAAGGTGCATCCTCGAAGGTTTTGATTACTGGTCACGACCACAGCTGGGCACAAGTCATTGTTTAATATGGCGGAAAAGGCTGGCTAGAACATGAGGCAGAGCAATTCTCACCTAAGTATTGGGCAAAGTCGAAGTCGATGGATGGAGCTATTGTTACTTCAGTCTGTGTCTGCTTGTTTCGTGGTTGCTGAACAAAACTGCCACGACGTGACAAATTCGATACATTAGGGCGAGCTTTTGGCGATGATGTGGAATATTTCATACGCATTGCCGCGCTAATTCGAACCATGTCACACAGCGGCGTCTGGAAAGGGCATTAAAACGAACTTATAAAGAAAATATCACTCACTTTCAAGTGTTCCACAGAGGCTTCAAAAAAAAGGTTGAAAGTTGCTCAAAGAACAAAGGTGATAAATAACCTTCACTGGAACGTCAGGGGACGGGATATAGCAAGTGTTATTCTTCCAATACTCATCAAGAATAGCTTGAATTTTTGCCTCTTGTTCAGGGTCTCTTGAACAGTGATAATAATTGAGATGAATGAAGGTGTCCAAACTGGAGCACGTAGGAAACTCACGGCGAGTATGCACTCTGTGCAATTTCCTCATCGGTAATATGAGCGGGTTTCAAGACTGACAGCTCTTCAATGGACCATTTGAATTCCTGTACGAGAGTAAAACTATGATATGGATCACTTTTCACAAAACACAACGTACCTCTGGTGACGCCGGACTGTTAGATATAGCAAGAACACTAGGACTAAACGTATTTGTGTGAAGCGTTTCGAGTAGTCGGCTTTCAAATGAGTTTGTAGAGCGAGAATGAGTAGGTATTTGAGCGCTGGCATTTCTGAATCAGTGAGAATACACGAAACAAAAAGGGAGCCGGAAAGACAGCTAAGATGCAGATCAATAGGAAGGTTACGGCTGTCCTAAGTTCACCCTACCAAAAGCACCGTATTACTCGGGAAATTTCTTTCATCAATTAGATACATTTACAACCATTTATGACATCGAGACAACACTTTCCAAACTAATAAAATGAAACTAAAGAAAACTCTCCGAAGCTCAACCAACAATTAAAAAGGAAACAGAACGGACCTTTCAGGAGTCGAAGTTCCTGGTGCTTCATTCTCTTTGTTTATCTGGCTTATTTCAAAAGTTTGATTAACAGAATGTGGTAGTTGGCTCGACTCTTCATCCTAGATGTAGAATTACAGTGCGAAATATCAAATTCGAGTCTCAGAAAATTCTCACCCCTTCACAATGGATTTCTGAAATCTCATCAAGCTGGTGGTGGGACTCCAAATGGCTATTCTTAACTAAGGGACTTTCACCACGACATTTGAACCGAATCACTCGCTTGCTAAAAACTGTTCGTCTATCGCTGTCATGCAAGATTGGCGAGAGCTTGAGATCTAAACGATGAAACAATGGTTAGACCCTCAAATAGATGATAGCATTACAAGTAAACCAAACAATAAAAGTAATCATGTAGACATCAACCGCTATGGTTCCCACAATTACTTCAAATGACTGATATGCTACGGTGCACAAATCACATGGCAGAAATGGAATTCAGGCACTACTGTTTCGCTTGATAAACGTAAGTATTTAAATGGCTCAGTAATAATGAATAGCATACCTGGTTTTTTACTTCGATTACAAGAAGAAGGATCTAATGATTCGTCCAAAGATGGCAGAGCTGTGCTATTCAGTTGAGTAGAGAAGCGATCAGACGTGATGTCTGCTTCCAACGACGAACAGTTTGCACCTCGATCCATCTGCTACAAGGACGGTGTGCTCTGGAAACAAAACGACTACTCTACGAACTGCATAGAAAGTTAAAAAGCAGCAAGTAGTTGTCAAAGTCCGAAGAATCGTGTAAACGTACGAAGGCGAATTCGTGGAAACATCGGTTTATATATTGACACTACCAATCCTTCCCTTCTCTTTAGCGTTAAAAGTTGGAAAAGAACGGTGCCTTATGTCCCAAATACATCTTCACCTACAGTCCCAAGGCATATGCAGCCCAGGTTCTTCAACTAGTTTCACATCCGTTATGATGCCTCACGAGAAGCAGAGTACAACCCAATTCCTTCCCATATCATTAAATGATGGTCTAATAAATCAAGAAAGCAGCTAGTTAAGCATCGAACAATTCTGCGTTCAGAGCATTGATGGGGCAATTTCAGAGCTAGCCTGATAGGCGAATCAGGTATGGATCCGTGAAGAAAACGCCAGTTCCACATGATCCGATCCAATGTACCTCTCTCTACAATCTTAAACAATTTCTTAGGGCGTAATACTTTACATCAACCATTTCATCGATGAAATACTCAACATAAAGACTGCAGAGCTGCGAGTAAAATTCATTAAGAAAAGAGAAACAACTTAATAACCCAGTTGTCGAAAAAAGATGGCGCACCGCCACACATTTCGAGTAAAATTATAGGCGCTAAAATGTATTTATCAAAGGGCGGTTTACCGTATCCCTACATTTCGAAAAGGAGCGCGCCAAGTAGAGTCTAGCGCGTTTGTTGTCCACCTAATCAGATGAATTGTGAGAACGCATTAGTCTTTCCGTATTAAAAGTTGGCCTTACTTTGAACATCCTTTTCGGTCTTCGTTTAATGAACTAGTCAGTTTTACCTTGGCAAGAGCAGCAGAGTGGCATCACCGAAGAAAGGTCAACAAGAAAGCTTCAAAGATGGTGAAAAACGTAAGCTGATCTTCAGCCAGGAATCGAACCCTCGATTGGTGCTCGCCGGAACTGACCAGACCTTCTATCCTCCCGGGACCGGTTCATTAGTAACAGACTCTTCTGAGAAGCTAAAAGCATTGACTTGTACCTTGGCCGACCACCACAGTTCAGTGTATAGGCCACATACGCATTCAAAACGCCACAACGATTTTGGAAGAGCAAAATGCGAGGCGCATCCCAAAGCGGGATCGATTAACGCCCCGAAAACTTTATCTTCTATCATCTTAGTGTCAAAATTCGCACAGTTTTGCGTCAGAAAAAAAAACATTTCCAGTATGCGTTCCATTCCGGTGATTCTCGTTTTCTACGAACGTCTGAATGGCCCATCAATCAGCATTGTGAGATGTTAATACCTTCGCTATGAAAGTGAATCGGCATCGATGTCCCAGATTCACACGCTCAGGCCGATTCTATGGACAATGCATAGCCTCCAATTCACCACGACGATTCACCGCCGCTGTCGTTTCCCTTTTATGCCTAAACTTCCTCCTTTGCTCGTTCGAACGCCTTTCCGTCACCGGTTCGAATGAGGCACTTTAAGCTATGGAGTGTTCATAAAGGACCTCCTACGGAATCATTTAAGACCAAATAAATATGCGAGTTGTCCTTTGATCGCTTTTTCTCTTGAAGAATTTCTCTCAGAGTTTCATCACTACTGGCGTTTGTGTCCCTTTGGACAAAACTCACTACACTGTCATTTTCTTGTGAACCGATCAGTTCAAGCTGTTTTGCTAAATTATGGAACTTCGTTGTGGAGGTGATGCTGTACCAAGCGGCCTACTACCACACCCACGTCTCGGGATCGAACCCGGTTTTATCCCTCCATGATTACTCATATGGTGCCAGATGTCTGGGTGCACGAAAATACCAACTTGGACATCGTGTGGCTTTTACAAGTCATAACTCTTTAATAACTCCTTTTCATTGGCTTTGTATTTCTTTACGCTAGACCCTTCAGTGCTTGCCAGCGTCTCGAGAAGACCGTAGACAATTTATGAGGGTCAAATCCCAGATGTCTCCTCAAAGACGCTTTTTAAGTCAGTTTCAGGACACTGACGGTTAGGTAGCATAGCAAAGAGACAGTGGGTGCTGCATTATTCAATTATTTCAGTCACTCAAACTTCACCCAGTATAGGGAAACCACCACTGCCTTAGAATCGGCTCCAAATATCAAAATTATTTAAGGAAATACAAAAATTCTAGAGGTTATAGAACCACACAGAAGTGAATATCTTCCTGATTTCTTGTAGACCAATTGCACAGGCTATGCACATATCCATAAGACTTTTCGATTTTTAGCCGAACTAATTGGATGGCGCACCCAGTATGGGAATCTAAACCATTCGGTAGATTGGCTTTTCGAAAACTCTCAGCTCAATAGGATATGTCGATTGAGGTCAAATTCCGAATGGAAGGATCACCTTCCCTCCATTCCACCAGATTTCACCTACTTAAGAGTTATAAAATAGGTCAATGCGATTGAGACATCAAAATGAAGGCGAGTGCAGACTTGAGAGATGCTCTTTGGACAATGACGCTGAACGTACTTTGAAAAAAAAATCAAAGGGCAGTCTTTAAACCGGAACCTCATTTGTAATAGTACATGAAGATACGCTTATTACTCAAGGGGACGGTCTTAATTCCCACCTTCCCAGAGGAGCCCAGTCATGAAACTGAGAAGTTTCAATTTCATCCTATTTCACTTTTTTACTTCTGTTCGAGACAAACGGCAAGTTGAAGGTCCGAACTCTCCCATAGTATATGTCATCAATAACATGAATTAAAAGCCATTGGTAATATTCATGATTATGATAGTCGTAATGATAATAATCATAGTCTTGACTTGCTGTTCTTGTTTTTAATAATAAGGAAATTTTATGCTAAAGTATTATAGCGTGTAGTGGCAAGTGGTGCACTATATCACTCGCACTATCACGGGTTCGAATCTCGGATCAATATCCGCCCAAGCCAACCAGTGTCCCTCCGGGGTAGGATAATTGGATGGAAGTCGAATGCGGGGGCGCATCCCTCATTGGTCGACATTGATCAAAGCCCAAAAACTGTCTTTTATCCTATAACGGAACGAAAAATATTTGTTTTGGCGCAGACTATTTACTATTTACTCGAGATGTGCTATAGAGATGGTATAACCAAAAAGCCAACCCTTATTTTAATAAAATCGAGTTTCACCTATTCCTTTTCCTCATTCACTATCTTACAAGGGTGATCAATAGCACGAAGAAATGTAATAAAATGTTTGAGAAGGAGGAGGGGGGGGGGGGGGGGGGGGGGGGGGAGGATTCAATTATGTGATCGTGTTAAGCTGTGCTGTCCCTGTTTGAGATAATCCTTGATATTTCGGCTCTGTGTATCAATCCCTATCCAATATATTTGTCTTGCCTATGGATCTTGTACATTCTTCGCTATGACTTGACGACGAACGTGAAACGATCCAACAATCAAATCAATGACACGCTCACCACCAATATCCCTTTGTTTTGCATCACGTTCTCATGAGATTGTTCTCTGATAAGATATCCTGCGCTACTGGCTTCTTAGGCGGTCTACATAAATATAAAGCCTTTAGCCTTTTAACATTAATCATTTCCATCTGAGGGATGCGCCCCTCATTCGACTTCATTCAGAATCACAGTGGCGCTTTGAAAGCGTATGGGACCTATACAATGATGCGGTGGCCAGTCGATGTACAACTTAATGTTTTTATCCTCCCAGACGAGTCGGGTACCAAATAACCGACCCCGGAGGGATGGAAGGCTTGGTTGGCTTAGGCGGATATCGATCCCGGATTCGGACCCGTGACTGTGCATGAGAGATAGTGCGCAACTTGCCAAAATACCACCTCAGCTCAAGTTATAATGATAGATAAGAATAATCACAATAACACAAATATAATACAGTCAGTATAAATAAAAATGTCACGCAAATATTCAAATATTTACACTACTTTTATTTGTTTTCTTTTCCCTTATTCGTTATTCCTTTAGAGAAGTAATGAGTATGGCGTATTCCGAACTAATTGCTCTTCGTACAATTTCCTTATCCAGTCAGACTGATTTTTTACGGAATTTTTGAGCTTCTGAAGTGAATTACGCTTCTTTCTTTTGTTTCCTTCTATCCCTTGTTGCCTTTTCTTCATCTAGAGATCGGCACCTCGATTTTGGATTGTCATTAGTGGAACTGGTTTTTTCTGGTCTGACTGCAGCGCCATTTTTTTCTGTCCAAAAACTGGCTAATTTTGGCTAATTTCAAGGATAAGGACAAACTCTTTGGCATTAATGAATCCTATTCAAACAAGATAATTAATAGATTAATGGAATGGTCTCTCTTTCTGATTATCTTGCCACCTTTTCAGAGTTGACGTCACATTTTACAACACAGCTTTCAGCTCATTTGGGCTTGGCAGTAAAAATGAACAGTTTCGGCAGAAGTCCTTAGAGAGCAGATACCTGAGGAGCTAGGGAGACGGGCGTTAGGAACGATTTTGGGTAATCGGTTTGCCGCACGCGGCTGTCGCGGACCACTCATTCGCCGTTATTACAGTTCTAGCGTTCTTCATACAGCTCAATCGATATGTGATCATTATTTTATGCATAATTCTACTATTAGTACTTTTGTTCTTGTATTTCTTACCTACTGCTGCGTCCTGCTACATTCCTTCGCGCGCGATGCCCCTCTCACCGCGACGCGACGATTTCGTTCCTAACGCACCACACCCGAGGAGCTAGGCCGAGGTAGTGTCGGATGACGCTGATACCATGCGAGATCCCATTCCAGCACCAGATATGTCCAAGAAGTTAAAAAGGTGGTCTACTTGTAGGCAGAACAAACTTGGATTGGAATAAACTGTATTATGGTGCAGCTACAACCCATTAGGAAGATCGTGTGAGCGTGATCCATCTCAAGACGACTCATCCATTGTTATCTCTAATTAAGTGGGATAATTTTTTTTCTTCCAGAAAGATTTTGGATTGTTGTCCACCAAAATGCTGACTTAATGGA